ACTTCCAGCACTTCCAGCACTTCCACCACCTCCACTACATCGACCACCACTTCCAGCACTTCCAGCACTTCCACCACCTCCACTACATCGACCACCACTTCCAGCACTTCCAGCACTTCCACCACCTCCACCACCTCCACCACTTCCACCACTTCCACCACCTCCACCACTTCCACCACTTCCAGCTCAAGTACAGCAACAACAGCCTCCTCCTTCTGTGAGTGCATACCTCAACAGTCTCCAAATCAACTCTACAAGTCAGCAGTCTGTCTCTCTTGCTAATGAGGAGGAGGATTTGTACCCCCGAGTTGTTTGGTGCATCCTGGCAGATGACGGAAACTGGGAAAGACTTCCCAGAACAGCCAAATACCAATTGGAAAAAAACGAATTAACAGAAGGAATAACAGATGCACAGGGACTTATATGGGAGGTTGATGTACAGGCAATGGTGGCCACACGACCACTGAGAGGACAGACGACGAAGCTGAAACGACTTGAGAATCTTCCAGGTGAGTAGATAGTTCTCAGTGAAAATGAGCCTGACTGATATTGGAGTTTGATGCTTGAGAGTAATCCAAAACCAAAAGAAACAAATATTAAGGTGTACAAGATGTAATGAAAGGACAGAGTACAAATAGAAATGCAAAATGTATTGCAAACTGCGGCACCTGTAAGAAAAACAATCATACAACACCTCGAACACAAAACTTAAAAATGTACAGACGACCCCGCTAGAGCCTGGCTTCCCTGGTTCAAACCATAGATCAGGTCCTGGGCATCCAGGCATCCAAAAATCACCCAGTACCCAGTACAGAGAGAGGTGATACAAAAAATGTGACCCGTGTGCACTTAACCCAGTAAACAATGATCGCGAGCGTAGTTTTCAACAAGGGGGTAATCCAGACCAGAGTTGCGCCGGTAATTCACCACAACCATCTTTAGTTGTTAGAAATAAATTTAATAACCTTCAAATTAGGGTGTGTGAAACAGGGGTGTAAAAAGATGGCTCCACCCACTGTGACCTATGCAAGCCACAACCCTCCATCAAGACCCTACGTGTATGAATGATGTATGAGGGAATGGGTGAGAGGGAGGGCCAGGGTAAGTAAGAATGGGAGGTAGAGTGAATGTGAAGAAATGTTAAGGTTTTTAAAGAAATAATTACAAAAAGAATCAGAATACTACCAAACTAATTGCAGTAAAGAAGGTTGCAAAAGTCCCACATCAGCAGTTAAGGGAGGAACACGTTGTCCTATTTCATGTCTTCATGTCTAATTTAGAAGCAGTGTTATATTATTTTTAAATAGGCTCTATTACAAGTCTTATTTTGGTTTTATTCCATCCCATTAAAATTATATTTTTATCTCTCTCTCTCATATATATATATATACATATATATACACACACACACATACAGTGGGGCAAAAAAGTATTTAGTCAGCCACCGATTGTGCAAGTTCCCCCACCTAAAATGATGACACAGGTCAGTAATTTGCACCAGAGGTACACTTCAACTGTGAGAGACAGAATGTGAAAGAAAAATCCATGAATTCACATGGTAGGATTTGTAAAGAATTTATTCGTAAATTAGTACTACATATATACATATATATATATACATATATACATACACATACATATATACATACACATATATACATATATACATACATATATACATACATACATATACATACATACATATACATACATACATATACACACATACATACATACATATACACACACACACACATATATATATTTGTTGTTTGATTGCCATTTACAACAAAATTTGTAGTAAATAGCAAAAAATAAATCTCAGCATAGGCTCTCTCTGTGTCTTCTCGTGTGCTGTATATGCTTGTCTCCTTCAGACTTTACTTTCCCTCTGTACTGGGACAGCATGGCTGCCAGTGAAAGTATGAAGGTCATTCCCCTGGATCCTTCTTCTGTAGAGTACCGAACAGTGAAGGAGGCCTTCAAACGAACCGTCACCAAAACTGTGATGAAGGTGGGTGGCTCTCCCTGTGCAAATGACCATTTCAGTTTCTATTTTTTTTATTACCCGTCTTATTATATGCATGCTGCTTCATCACTACTTTATTCTTCTATAGGCAATACAACCAATGTTATTAAATGTTATTCATGAAATATTATGCTACTGTAAAGTGGAACAAATAGATATTTCTTATTTACTTTGCTTTATTATATGTGTATATTATTTACAGTGAATACCCATTATTTATTCATTATTGCTTCCTGATTATGATATCCTACCATATATTCTTCCTAACGTTTGTTACTTGCATTTTGTTTTGTAACCCCAGCAACATTCCCAGAGATATACATATATATAGATATGTACACACACTGACACAACTCTACACAAAGTGTGTGTAAATAGCAGGTGAGATCAACCGGCAATGTACTTTGCGAAAACCGTATCTTTGTATAGGTCATGTTGGGCCATTATTTCAGTTCCTTAGTCTGTGCAAGTGTTTCACTTCCACATACATGGATACAAAAACTTCAAAACATCTTAATGTAATTCCAATTTACAAGAAATCACTTAATGTCGCATTTGATAAAAAAAACAAAACAAAACACTAATTTCATCATTCAAAAGATATCATTTATTTAATTAAATTGTATGTATTTATTAATTTATTTATTCGGGATTGTAGGAGGATTTTAGTTAGGATTTTAGTCCACTATATCTCTATAGTCCAATAAATTGATGATGTTCATAATTTTCTCAGAAACAATACAAAGAAAGATATTACAATACAGTTGAAAAACCTGCCTGCAAATCATTGTGTTTTCAGTTTCTCAGATTTGCAGTATTAAAGTAATTAATTGATCGCTGATGACAACACAAAATCTACTCATACTTGAGATGCATACCTAAATTTAAGGCCCACATAATATAAGCATAAGCATAAAAATATACATCAGATGTAATTGATATCCTTGATTACCTTGTTTGGCAGCTTGTTGATCCTTTGGCCTTGTTCTTTCTGTCAGATTGAGCGTTTGCAGAACGTTCACTTGCGTCGCGCCTATGAAGCGCACAAGAAGCAAATTTCTGATAAGAATGCATGGGAGGGAGGAGAAAGAGAGAAACTTCTGTACCACGGGACGACCCAGGAAAATTGGTACTCCATAATGAAAACTGGATTCAACAGGAGCTTTGCTGGGAAAAATGGTGAGTGTTTTTATAGTCTACAATTACAGAACATATTAGCAATTATCTCCTAACGTTTTGAAAAGTACCAAATGCAAACTGTCAGTGCCAACAACTTGCATAACATGTTCTAACCAAAGTCAACACAGGAGTCTTCCTACATTTGCACAAATATTTTAAAGCAGCGGTCCCCAACCCCCGGGCCTCGGACCGGTACCGGTCCGTGAGTCGTTTAGTACCGGGCCGCAAGAGTTGAGGCTCAGGTGTGAAATGTATGGTTTTCAGGGTTTTTATTGGTTTTCAACGTTATTTTGTTATAGTTTTTATCGTTAACTCAGTTTTCCTGGGTCTTTTCACGTGTGTTATGAATAAATCTTCTTTTTTTCGGTACTGGTACTAGTTTTATTTTGTTGTATTTATCCTCGACACTTTAAAGGCCGGTCTGTGAAAATAATGTCGGGCATAAACCGGTCCGTGGTGCAAAAAAGGTTGGGGACCGCTGTTTTAAAGCACTAAACAAATAGAACAAGGAGAGCTACAATTAAATGTTGAAAGAAAGAAAAAACATTGTCTTTACATTACCAGGTTTTCTGTTTCAGGACATAATAAAAGCAACCTGGTCCTTAGCAGTCTAGTCTTAAAATTAAGTAAATAAAACCTTGGCTGATAGGAAAACATGGTATATTAAGTTTCATTGTTCATTTAACAAAAATTAAGCAAAAGGGGGAACCAGCGTATGAAAACCAAAGTGTCCCCTTAAGAAAGCATATTTATAACAACATTTTGGCAATCTACTGACCTAGAGCATTTAGGTGTGTGTCAACACAATAACCACAATCTTTCTAGGAGTGGACATCCCAGCAAAGAGGTGGGAATGGAAAAAAATACTCTGCACAATTTAACAGACAACGCCACCCTGGGAATTTCACCCAGAGAATACTGGATAGAAATAATACTAATCACCCAGAAGGCACTTAGGTTTGTTATACTCAGTACAGCGACTTGGTTCAATGATAAAACAGGTTGACATTTTATTAATAATTATTTAAAACAGAATATAAAAGCACAAGCATAAATATCAATATACAAATATTCTAAAAAAAAAAAAAGTATTCAGAGTCGAGCCTTACCAGTGGAGGGGCAGGGATGCCACACACAAAACCAATTCAAAAAGAAAAGAAAACTCACCAATACACAAGTGCAGCACACTGTCACACGCTCACACTAATGAACTAAAAATGCAGGTGTGTAATACTCAAAGGATCCCACCACCAAGGCACCCCAGTCTCCTCCACGTCAGGCCCTCCGCATCTGAATAAAAGAAACAAAGAAAATTATAATATATATTCCAAAAAACTAATATGCCCACGCTGGGGATAGCCCAACTGCAGGAACACACTGGTGATCTGCAGCTAGAAAAAGGGCCTCCTACCAGTGGTGTAACAAAAACCAAATTACAAGTCAAAACAACATAGAGCCAGGCATACAAACTAAATAAAACATTAAATCTGGAGCAGACGGAGTCGCCATATTACGCCAAATTGCTGTCCGCCTGACTACTTTAATTTAATAATTAAGTCAATCACCATGCACGCCAGGCGATTCCTGTAGCCGGCATATATATAGCCGCTGTCCACGCTGATGTCCACGCGCTGCGTCATAGCAGCGCGTCTGGTGCGTTTGACTCGTGAATAAAACCACGCGCGTGAGTTTTTGTGTTGCATATTGTGCATACAGGCGTATTTCATCTACCGCTCGAGTTGGAAAAATTTGAACTCCAGCATCAATTCGTGCCGCGACAACCAATCAGGAGCCTGGTGACATGGCTCTGATCTAGGTCAAAGGGGCAGATCTCGCAGCTTAACTCTAAAATAATAATTAAAAATAATAATCATTAACATAATTCCAGCCAATCAGCCAAAGCCCTTCATAGTATGAAGGGCTTTGGCTGATTGGCTGGATCTGCCCCTTTAACCTAGGTCAGAGCTACGTCACCAGGCGTCACCAGGCGTCACCAGGCTCCTGATTGGTTGTCGCAGCGCGAATTGACGCTGGAGTTCAGATTTTTCCAACTCGAGCGGTAGACGCGATACGCACGAATGCACAAAATGCAACACAAAAACGTATTTTTACTCACGCATCAAACGTGCCAGACGCGGTACACTGACGCGCAATTCACGCGTTTTCGCAACGCAAATCTGCTTCCGAATTTTCGCAGGACCCGCAATCTCGTGTCATTGCGCTTTTCCATTGACTTTACATGTAAACCTGACGCTCTGTTCGCGCGTAGCGTAGAAAAGCTGTAGCGACCCTGCTGTAAAGCTACTGGCCGCCCACTAAGGCCCACACTTCCTGCAATACATAATGAGTGTTTACTATAAAAGAAATATAAAAGGCAGAGATCGTAACAAAGCTGAGTTACATACCAATTAAACGACATCACTCGAGACATGAACAGAGTGGTTCGTAGGAGGCTTCTACAGCTACGACCTATAAACAACATGTCACGGTCTGCGGGAGGCAGACTTTTGTTGTGGGGGAGTAGAGTCATCTTCACTGTCACTTGCGCTTCCTGCTTGAGCCCAAGTAATCAACTCTTCACCAAGGAGCAGGTTGAAGTCGAGGAACTTCAGTGGTTTCTTCCCTCGAAACTGCAAGTCACTTCTAAACTGAAGCCACGAGTTGTTTATTGCCAGAACAAAAAAGTGTAGAACTGCAAATGCTGTCCATTTCCGAGTGCAAGAGTCCATCCTGTAGAAACTCAAGATTCGGTCAACAAGATCCACGCTACCCATGTTGGTAGTGTACTCACCAACTGCCAGTGGCCTTGGCACCTGGACAAACCTCTTGTCTTTCTTGGATCATCTTGTGCATGTGTCCTGAGGTTCAATGCCATAGGCAGAGGATGCCATGACAACTGGCTTTTTGTCCAACCACTTAATGACAGCAGGTTCAGGAGGACTTCGTCTGACTACCATCTCTGATGCCCCTCTTTCTTTCTTATTGAAGGGCTTATCCCCTATGATCTTGGACTCCTTTGGAATCCTGTTACTCATGAGGGTTCCAGTTCCAGTTGGCCCTTTCATCTTTAGGGTATAAAGGAGGTTGATAGTTGTAAAGAACCTGTCAATGAACAGGTGGGTTCCTTGGGGAACAGACTCTGCCAAATGAAGAACAGCTTGCTCTCCAATGCCTATTGACACGGCTGGGCAGCAGTCGTGTAGTGGAATGAAAAGGACCCAAAATGCAGGCAACTGACTGATGAAGAGTGTGACGTTTATTTACAAGGTGGGATAGTGGCAAGCAAGCAGTGAGGCATGACAAATAACTGAAGAAACCTAAACTGGGAGAACTAAATAACAAACCTGAGAGCATACAAAAGGGGTGCGGGGCAGAGAGACGCAGAGACAGGAACGAAACACCATAGAATGCAGACGAGCCAACAACGAACACAGACCAACACCCACTAAATATACACACACAAGGTAATCAGGTAATCACACACAGGAGGGGAGAACAGCTGATCCTAATACACACGATGACTGGAGGAAACAAGCTGAACACAATGACAACAGACAAAGACCTTCAGAATAGAACAGGAAATCCAGAACACGAGCCTTCAAAGTAAAGCAGGAAACACACAGACTGATTTACAACACAACACGGGGACATGAACAGAGCACCGAGGACAGACACAGGTAGGGCTGATAAAACACTAAACTTCAGGTTCAACCCTAAACTAATACAAAATCTGAATAAACACAAGGCACAAAAATGAACTTCAAGGAAACACAAAACGCTGGGTCAAAATGACCCAGGACCATGACACCTATTCCTCCCGTATCTTCAAAGCTAGTCTTGCCTTGGTAGACCACAAAGTCTAAGACCAAACCAGCTGGTGCGGCTAAGACAAACACCTTCAATCCAGTTGGGTATGGCTTGCCTGGTACATACTGGTGCACTGGGCAGCTACCAGTAAATGGGATTATTTGCTCGTCAATGTACAATTTATCTGTTCTAGGTAGACTCAGACATCCTTGATTCTCCACGACAGATCACTTCTTTTTTCATTATCTGAAACATTGAGGTCATTGATGATCTTGAAGGAATTTCTGAGCTTGTAAAAATGATTTCTGGTCATGGATTCTGCTACAACTTGAACTCTCGTGTTTGAAGCACAATACATTTGAATGTTTGGATATCCTAGACACCCCACGTAAATGGAAATCCCAAAGAATGTCTTCAGCTCTTCAGGAGTGGTATTTTGTGTTGCTCCAGACGCAAGTGTATTTGTGCACAAGGCCATTCTTTCAAACACACTGAGTCATCGATGTACTGCTTGAAGTTTGTTGTTTGTTTGTTTGTTAACAGTGTTGGGGAGTAACGGAATACATGTACCGCCATTACGTATTTAAAATACAAAATAT